ATGAACCTCTGGACTTCGTCCGTCAGTTCGTATAGATGCCTCCTGACGTGCCTAGGCGAGGGCTCCTCTGCAAGCAGCTGTCTGTTCGGGTGGCCACTTCTGTGGCTCTCGATCAGAAACTGCTTGCAGAGCATTATGTTGTGCTCCTTAATTGGGAGCATTTGTGCCTCGTTGTGAAGGTGATGTTCTGGCGACGGCAGGAGGCATCCAGTCGCTGTCCTGAGTGCGGTGTTCTGTACTGTAGCACTGCGTGCTACTAGTCCCCGGCGACCACACTGGCGCTGCTTAGTTTAAAACCGGCCGGCCTATTGCCTTGTATGTTGCCAGCAACGCTTCTTTGTCTTTGCCCCAAGTGCTGCCGGCTAGCGACTTGAGGACCTTGTTGCGGCTCTGTCCTTTATTGACAATAGCGGTTGCGTGCGCAGAGAAGGAGAGCAGGCTGTCGAATGTTACTCCGAGTATTTTGAGATTATTCACCGTCGGAATTGGTGTATCGTCGACGTGAATTTCAATCGGTAGCCTGACCTCCTTCGTCCAGGTTATGAACAAGGTCGTAGAGGATCTCGTAGGGGAGAGGGCTAGACACTTTGCAGTGAAGAAGCGAGAAAGATCTGAGAGATATCCGTTTACTTTCGAACACAGATCCTAGTCGCCATGATCGAGCAATCGTCGGCGTATGAAACAATCGAGACTCCCTCTGGTGGTTGAGGGAGCTTTGAAATGTAAAAGTTACACAGTAGCGGGGAAAGGACACCACCCTGTGGAACCCCCTGTTTTATTTTTCTGAGTTTACTCGATTTGTCTCTAAACATTACCGACGAGTGTCAACCACTCAGATAATTTGCCGACCACCGTTTGAGCCTCTGTGGGAGAGAGGAAGCCTCTATAAACGCATTTGACAAGTTCAACGCTACTAGAATCGTTCTCTTACAGGGACGGTTACGGTTAAGGCCACGAGTTATCTGAGTATTTATTGCGTTAAGTGCTGTTGCTGTACTGTGCACTTTACGGAAACCATGCTGATGCTTCGCTGGGGTCAGGTGGTTCGTGAAATACGGGAGCAGTAAGGTCTCGAGTGTCTTCGCTACTGGGGAAAGGTGTGTTATCGGTCGATACGAATCTCCTTTGTTGGCAGGTTTTCCCGGTTTGAGCAGTGGGACCACTCTCCCCACCTTCCAGATGTCTGGGATGATGAGAGTGGCCATAGACAGATTGAGGACCTCCTTTAGGTACGCTAGTCCCGCAGGACCCAAATTTTTCAGCATCCGCATGCATATTCCTACGGGACCCATGGCTTTGGAGGCTTTCGCCTTCCCGATGGCCACCTGAACTTCACCGCAAGTGAAAGCAAGGGGGGCACAGGTTGTTGGCAGTTTGTGCAGCCTTCTGGTCACTCGACGTTCGGCTTTGTCCACCGGAGGATGCAGTATGAACTGCCGGCTAAAATAGCTCGCGCATCGCTCCGGATCCGACGAGGCATGGCCGACGAAAGAAATTTCGACTCTGTCATCGTGCTTCGTCGGATTGGACAGTGACCTCACGGTTGACCAAAGCTTACTCACACCAGAGGTGAAGTTACAGGTCTTCAGATGCTCTTTCCACTTCTTCCGCTTATGGACGTTCACTAGTTGCCGAATCTCCGCGTTGAGATCCCTGATACGGGGATCTCCGGGATCGGCCTGACGAAGGCTATCACGCTCATCGGCTAGAACAGCCGCTTCAGCAGAGAAATTCGGACGTGGGTCCGTAATACATCCTGCCGGTGCGAAGCGAGCTGCAGCAGCGGTGACAGACCTGCGGAACTTACGTTCACCAAGGTGGACGTCGGTTGGTGTGGGGAGAGAAGCGAAGGTGTTTTCAGTAAATTCCGCGAAGCCTTTCCAATCAGCTTTAGAAAAGTTGACATAGGTTCGTTGTTCCGCGAGTTAACGTCATAGCCTTACTGCAGGTAGTTAACGACATAGCCTCACTGCAGGTCACGTACACCATGATAAGCGCTTACTTGTAAACAACATCAAAACAATATAACTTGTTTTGACATGCAATATCACGAACTGCAACGGACGAACATTGGAACAATAGAAATGCACTATCACTACAACAAACAATAACAACCCGAATAGTTATCTACTAGTAAACAGTAAACAACCGGCATCTCAATAGTTACTGCGATAACAACCGACGCATCTCAATAGTATAGGTAGCACTAAGATTTATGTAAACAAGTCAGTCTAAAGAATATAGTTAAAAAACACGCACTCCAGCGAAATAAATAAATATATGTTTTTTAGTATCATATCGTAAAGCGATATTAACTGGGGGCTCAACCAAACCTGTAAGCCATCACAATCCATTGAGGAAAGGGATAGGAAAAATTCCACGGGAAGAAGGACTTCCAGCACTATATCTTTGAAAAAAGTGCTTAAAATTCAACAAAGAAAAAATTAAGATTCCTGACAAATCGGAAAAAGAATAACGGATAAGTCTTGATATATAGATAAAACATTCAAGCAACGTTATAGTGAAAACATTCAAGCAACGTTATAGCAACGGACATCACATCACGCTGGATTCGCGGAGAAGGCGACAAGAAAGCTTCAATTTATTACGTCTATCGTTGGTTATAAACTCCGAAATAACAACACAAGAGATCGCAAGCCTGAGAGCACAAATCGCTGCTCTGATCACAACGCTCACTGAAACCCAACAGAGAATGAATTCCTTCGAAGCCTACGCAACACCTAACGTCACAGTCACCAACCAATACCAGGACTGTACACCAAATATCACCGATGCATCACAAATCAACTTAGAAATATTCAAAACATTACCAATCTTCACAGGTGACATGAACTATTATAGGTCATGGAGAAAACGTGCCTGGACACACATGAAAAACATCAAGAATCACGCTACTACACCCACGTATTACACGGCACTCTCGATTGTACATTCGAAAATTGAAGGAGAGGCGGCCGATATTTTAATAAACCACAACACCAAATTCAACTTCTATTCTATAATAAACCGTCTCGATTATACGATTATACTTATGCGGACCAGAGACCTCTGTATGTGTTGCTCGAAGGAATGAAGAGTATAAAGCAGGGAAAAAGGACGTTGGCAGAGTTCCATTGCGAAGTCACTTAATCTTGCACTCACTAAAGTTGAGATGGATAGCTCAGGAAATCCCTCAGCTATGAAAGAATATGCGAACCAGGAAGCTGTAAGGACATTCATTCTCGGTCTGAACAGCAAATATACCAGCGGCATCCTCTATAGCCACAATCCGAAGGACTTGGAAACCGCTTACGCTATCGCAAGTACGATATACCACGATAATGTGAACTCACAATTCGACGTTCCGCAATACAGTCAGCACAGACAATATAATACATCGCAGTATCAAAACCCAAGCAGAAGATATCACGAGGAACCATAAAGGTACAAACCTAACGTGCAGGTGCAATACAATAAAACTGCACCCAGGCAACCGCGCCAACCAATGGACGTAGATCCACCACAGCAATACACGAGATCCGCAAATTATAATAGGAATCATTCCGCACTACAACAAAACAGCTCTGACCATCAAATAATCCATTTCGCGGAGATCCTAAAAAAAGAGAACGAAATCCTTCATCTCGTAATTTCAACATACAACAGAAAGTACAACGTGTAAACCAAACACGCGACGAAGAACTAAAATCGCTTGCACCAGAATACGAAAATGATGATAATGAAACAGGCAGTGCATGCACAATTTGCCGTGTCTGCAACGCCACTACAGGGATACAGGCAAACTTATTAACATCCTGACCGACACTGGAGCAACAAACAATTATATAAGTACAGAATGCAACATCGGTAAGCCTATTCCAATTAAACCTGTAAAAGTGAAAACTCTTCATGGTTACTCAATAACCAAATCAAAAAAAAATAATAACATTGTTAGAACATAATCTCACATTTTTTGAAACAAATGCATTAGAAGAATTTGATATGCTTTTGGGTGAACAGGGACTTAGAAAAATCAAAGGGGAGATCAACCTGTTCGAGTACAAGCTCAGTTATAAATATAGGGCCAAGAAAGAAAGCGAATCCGTACAAAAAATAAATTATACGGTTAATAGTGAAAAATATAGGGCAGAAATCGAAGAAATTATGCAAAAAAAATGAAAGCACAAACGATGTGCTACCATATACTACCGCGATACAAGCTACCATTAGAACGAAATCCGAAGATCCTATATGGACCAAGCAATATCCGTACCCTATGTCGGATAACGACTTCATTAACAAAGAGATGAACAAACTTTTAGAAAATGAAATAATTCAACCCAGCAAAACTCCGTACAACTCTCCCATTTGGACAGTCGCTAAAAAAGGTACCGATGAACAAGGGAAACCTAAGAAATCTTTTCCCAAGACTATGTGGAATACTTAGGGCATATAATTAAATACAACATGATCATAGTTGACCCTACAAAAATACAGACTATTAAAAATTTCCCTATTTCCACAACACTGAAGGAACTCAGATCCTTCCAAGGTCTCGCTAGTTATTATAGAAAATTTATACAGAATTTTGCAGCCGTCGTCAAACTACTCACTACGTTCCTCAGAGGAGAGAACGGCGGCATATCAAAGAATCAAAGCGCAAAAATAAAAATCACCCTAGACGAACCTGCACTAGAAGCACTGAACAAAATAAAAGAGGAACTGCAAGCCCAGGTTGAACTCTTCCAACCAAACTTTAACAAACCTTTCGAATTAACCACAGATGCTAGCAATTACGCTATAGGAGCCGTATTGTCTCAAAACCAAAAACCCATATCATTTATTCCACGAACGCTCAGCGAAACATCAAAATTACTCCACGAATGAGAAAGAGTTACTCGCAATTGTGTGGTTACTACAGAAACTACGTAATTACTTGTATGGTATAGCAGATTTAACAATTTACACTGACCATCAATCTTTAATCTTCATATCAGAAAAAAACCCCAATACAAAATTAAAAAGATGGAAAAATTTCATTGAAGAATATGGTGCAAAACTCGTTTACAAACCCAGACATCAGAACGTTGCACTTTCTCGCCAGCAAATAAACAACACTGTAAATTCTGATGACTCCCAACACTCAGCACAAAGCTCCCCAACACAAAAACTCAAATGAGTAAAGCAACCATTAAACTCCTTTAGAAAACAAATTATTGTAAAACAGTCAGATCAGAACCCCGTCGAAATATCCTCACAAAACATATTTTCTAACAGTCGACATACGCTTTTTTTAACACCAAAACTGAATTGCTAGACAAACTAAAAATATAATTAGACCAAAGGTAACTAATGCTCTGCAAATAGACGAGCAAATATTATTTTACGTCGAAAACGACATTATCGACACATTTCCAACTGTATCGATTGTACTAGCGCAAAAATTGGTGAACGACATCACCGAAACCGATCAACAAGAACAAATCATACAAGACACACAAAGACGTGCTCACAAAAACTACAAAAATAACGCACAGGAAATTTCGCTCAGATACTACTGGCCAAACATACGTGACGCTTGTAAAAAAGAAGTACAGGGCTGCGAAATCTGCCTCGCAAACAAGTATGAACGCCGACCAAATAAACAACCAATAGGTTCAGCACCAATACTGAACAAGGTAGGCGAATACATACCCTTAGACTTAATATATGCATTAGTTCAACCGACAAATACTCAAAATTCTGCCATTTGAGACAAATACTATCAAAAAAAGACACATACAAATACGTTGACGATATACTATCACAAATATACCCAAACGCAAAGTTTGTAATGACTGATAACG